CTCTCTCTCTCTCTCTCTCTCTCTCTCTCTCTCTCGTTCTCTCTTTATCAGTTTATCACTTTAGCTTTTTTTGTTCTCTCTCTCTCTCTCTCTTTTTCTCCTTCTCTCTCTCTCATGCCATCTCTCTCTCTCTCTTCTCTCCTCCTTCTGCTCTCTCCTGGGCCTGTCTATCTCTATGCCTCTCTCCTCCTCTATTTCTCTCTGTCTCTATCCCTCGATCTCATCTCTCTCTCTCTCTCTCTCTCTCTCTCTCTCTCTCTCTCTCTCTCTCTCTGCCTCTCTCTCTATGCCTCTCTCTCTCTCTCTGCCTCTCTCTCTCTCTGCCTCTCTCTCTGTCTCTCTCTCCCCTCTCTCCGTGTCGTTCTTTCTTTGTCCTCTCATGTATGCCTCTTTCTTTTACAAAACTCACATGCGAACTGTTCGAAATGTTCTTCTCCGTACTGAAAAATGTGCCATCAAAACCACAAAATGGGTGTAGCAGTTTCAGCCGATGAGTGAAGCAGTTAGATAGCAGTTTGGGCCCGCCACCAACTTAACTATTTCGGCAGATCTTGCCGAAATAGTTACAATGTTACAACGAGCTTTGTCGAAATCGGCAAATCTTAACGAAATCGACAAAACCATTTTAATCTACTTCGTGGCACAGATTAGTCTAATTTGCTTTGAAGGATTAAACTAAACTATCTTCGGCAAAACAAGTTGTTGAAACGCTTTGATGAAGTCGTAGAAAGATATAGATTTCCAAGAAATGAAGAGTCGGCAACTTTTTGTCTAACCGGGTAAATTGGGTACGGCCACGCGGGCCCAGCTTCTTCACTTCTCCAGCCTGACCCTACAGGAGTATTCCTGCAAAACGTGGAGGCTCCCATCGAAGCGAGGAATACTTTTCTTCCGTTGCTTCGCTCTCGGATATCTCTATGAACTTGTGCCAAGAAAGGCCTTCCAGAAGCGATGCCAAGGTGGCACTTCCCGGAGCTTCAGGTCTTATGCTGTCAAGCTGCCTAAGGATACGTATCGGGCGCCAAAGCCCTAGAGCGCAATGGCGCCGCTGCCAATCTGAAAACAATGGCAGGCAAATGCTGTTGCAAAGCATGACACTTTTGCTCGCAACTGCGAAGCCAAAGTAACCCTGAAGTTAGGAAGCCGCGCCTTTCTCTGCAACGCACAAAGTGCTCCATGTGCATGAGCCAACGTAAGTTAAGTCCGGGGAGAAGTGTTATTTTCGAACACACACACACACAAACACACACGTCCTGAGACCAAAGTACCATACTTTAGCTCTCAGAAACAAAGTACATAACACGTACGTAGGAGACGTGTCAAAAGCATGTCAGAGTATGCTTCCGGGGGTTCGGGTGCAGAAAAGCGTTTTGCGTCCTGCGTCAAGACTTCGCAACAATGCCTCATATCTACAGCACTCACCAGTTGAAACCAGAGTTCGTTGTGCAAAGTCGTGATCGTAGAGTGGTCGCACCAAATGCACGGATTCTCCAGCGTCTTCATCAACAACGAAATGTTCCTTCTCATTTCTCTTCTTGATTCACCGCAACTGGAACTTCCAAGTCCTGCTTCGTTGTCATAGCAGCAACTCGAAAGTCACTCTCTCTCTCTCTCTCTCTCTCTCTCTCTCTCTCTCTCTCTCTCTCTCTCTCTCTCTCTCTCTCTCTCTCTCTCTCTCTCTCTCTCACACACACACGCACACACGCGCGAGACACCGTCTCCGAAGGCCGCTTGGTCGGGGAAGCCGTCGCCTCCGCACGTCGAGGCCTTGTAGCCGCGGGCTGCGGCAAAGCTGCTTCCGAAGCTGACCTCGGCTGGCCTCGTACCTGCTGACACAAAGTGGTAAAGGAAAGTCTTCTTCCGGCGCGTCACCAGAGGCGTCACCAAACAAGCTCTCAACTTCTTGCAAGTCACCAACTGGCTCCGTCGACTGTGGGCTGGAAAGACAGAACTGTCCGTCTTAGTTTTGGATCCTGTGGGGTCCCAAGGTCTGGCCGTCACCCGACTGTTGCCAAGTCCGCTTGCCGGGAGGGTGGGTGGCGTTTGACACTGCACGTCTTAAAGAAAGCTGCAGGGCCCGTCTGCAGATGAGGCGTCCTGAAAAGTTCACAGCCGGCACAGAGTACTCCTTGCGCCGGGTCAACGTCGTAGCGCCCAAGGATTTCAAGACGCAAAGCCTTGATCTGTCCATACAAAGTGGCTTGCATGTCACTTGCCTTGTGCCTGCTTCCAACCAACGGGCGTTTTGCGAAAGGAAGGCCCCCCAACCTCACCAGTCACAGAAGTTGCGCCCAGCGAGGAGGGCGGGTTCGGGATCCGCCTGCAACACACCGAAGATAAAGAGGCGCAAGTCGCCATCCCGGACAGGACGTCTACATTCCTTCCAACGGCACCGACGAAATCCGTCTCGGCATTCATGTTGAGGTTCATGTCGAGGGACTTCACGGAGGAGATAGACAGGAGCTAAGGTGTGCTTCCGGATTGCACCTCTGCCGAAAACACCTCTCCGGCACATTCATTTGCGAACTGAAAGGTCTTCCTGGTGGCTGTCGGGGCACATTGGCCGGCACACTCTGGAGGCAATGATTTCACATATGCCTCGCGCCACCGCCGAGAATGTAAACATGAAGTGCAGGCGGTGTCCAGCAGCTCCTTCCTGAAGCCTGTAGTTCTCCGGCTCCTGGCCCAAAATGGTACCAGAACAACCATGCTCTGAATTCCTTGCTCTTGGCGGCTCCTCTTCTCCGGTGGTGTGGATCACGTAGCCAGCGTCCGCAACCAAAGGTCAAACGTCTCCTTCTCCCCTTTGCTTCCCACGAGGCCACTCAGCGGCACAGCCTGGCCAACCTCCAGGTCAGGTCCTCAGGTCACTCGACGCCGGTGCGCAGGCAGTTGGATCCCCGTCTGGAAACTCGAAACATGCGCCGAGGAGCCCTACACGGGCCTTGCGCTTATCATCCAGCGCAGCCCTCCCAGCGTCCTGCTGCATCTCGGCCTCCTCAGTCATAGACCATGTTGCAAAAGCCAGCCGCGCCGCGCCGTCATCAGCGGCACCCAGGCTGAACAAGAGAGGGGCCTCGACACAAAGTAGGCCTTCTCCTTACCCCTGCCGTTGTTGCCCCGATTCTTGCCTCCACCCTTATGAGCTCTGCGGCCAGTGCCGGCACCGGAACCTCGAAGTCGGCACTGCCATCGGCCCAGTGTCCCAATTTGTTACACACGGAACATCTCGTGCGAGCCTTCTCCCTCTCGATGGCCTTCCTCCAGCTCCTCCGCCCTTGCGCTCTTGAAGAAACTGCGGTTGCGCCGGATGTCTTTCAAACGCTGCCGGCTTTCTTTCTACGTGGAGTAAGCATTGAAAACCTCGTCATCTTCAGATGCCCCGTAGTCTGAGCAGTCTGCTCCGCCTCCTCGTCATCGGCATCCGCTTCGAAGGCAGGCAGAGTCCTCGGCCTCGCCTTCCGCGTGCTCCTCTTCATCCGCAGCCGTCTGGTAATCGGGGTCATCGTCGGCATAGCGGGCGTAGTGCAGGCGCTTCCCGGCACCCTTCGGGGGCCGTCTTGCTCCATGCAGGTTCCATTCGCGGGCGGCGGCCTTCTCTCTCTCATGCGCATCATATAAGCTCACGCGCAAAGCCTGCTTTATGCCTTCCAAAATGGTTAGCAGATTGGTTCGCCAAGAGGATTTGGCGCTTGTCGTCCTTTCCCAGGTTCAAGGTGAAGTAAACCAACTTGAAACCTCGGACATCTTTATGCCATCGCCCACGTCACACAAATCGTCCCAGTCCTGCTTTCTCTGCCGGAGGTAGCGGTCGCCCGCGTGGCCTTTGCGACGAAAGCACTTGTCAAAGAACTGGTCCAAAGCCTCCGTCTTGTGCATGACTCCTGGTTTCTCGATCTGGCCAAAGGCTTGGAAGATCTCCCTGTAGCCGCGCTTGACCTTCAACTTGTCCGGCTCCACCATCAGGTCGGCACATGCCTTAGTGCTTGCAGAAGCCGCCATACGAGCCTGTTCTGCTTCTTCCGGGGACCTCTTCTTTCGCCTCGTCGTCTCCACTGCCCTGCAAGCTGTTGCAGGCGAACAAAACTCGTCGTCGGTACTTCCAAGAGGCAGCGGAGACTGCTCCCTCCGAGGCCGTGGCAAAAAGCTCCGCTACCAGTGCGAAGTTCAACGCACTCGCAGCGCAACCCTTCGTTTATCGCCAGGCAAACGAAAGTGTATTTTGTCGTGAAACTCCTGTTCTGCCACTTGCCTTAAGCAAGGCAGACCTGAACTTCTAGAAGGCATGAGCGTACCGTCGTGCTCGGGACCTGAACTTCTAGAAGGCATGAGCGTACCGTCGTGCTCGGGCCGGCTGCAGAAAAGGATGCCGGCATTGCAAAGAAGCTTCTGGCACACAAGGTCACAGTCAACAGGTGCATCCACGAGAGCTTTCACAGGAAGTGTAATTTTCTGGAGAATAGTGCCCTGTTCGCAGTCTGTTCAACATCCGGGCCACCCGTGTCGAAAATAACCTCCAAAGTTTCATCAGTAAACTCATCATTCATCAACTCAGCTCGATCAAACAAACTTACCGCACCGATTTCGAACATCGAGATGCAAGCTTTAAAGTTCCACGACCATGCTTCCCAACCAGCCGGCTGGCCGGTGAAAGTCTCTGGCAAGGGAAGCCGAAGCTTTCCCGCAAAAATCCTGTTGCTACTATGGCCCATTGTCTTCTGTCCAAAGTTCCTTGGAGCTTTCAGCTCCGCTACCATGTAAAAGTATAGCGTCCCAGAATCGCACACAAACTACTCTAAAGTAGAAGTGCACAACTCACTCAACTGCGAAGCCAAAGTAACTCTGAAGTTAGGAAACGCCTTTCTCTGCAATGCACAAAGTGCTCCATGTGCCTGAGCCAACGTAAGTTGACAAAGTCTGGGAGAAAGAGAGCGTGTTATTTTAATTCACAAGGGGTGACAGACAGACACACACACACACAAAGAGATGAACACGGCAGCCTCCCCCGCCATCAGTTCTGGAACGGCAGCAGACCTGCGATTGAGAACGCAAGGACCAAGGCACTGCGGATTGCAAGGACGGCTTGAGAATCTTCGGTTGCGTGAGCCTCAACAGGCGTACGAGTTGACGTTTGGCCGGAACGTACAGTGTCTTTCTGAAGGCGGCGGCCTGTGAAGCACTGGCGAAGTGCAGGCATCGTGTCCACTTAGCACACGTCCTGGCCTCTCGCTCCCTGTACACCTGCATATCCTCCAAACCGTCCTGCAGGCACTCTGCTTCAGCAACATCCTCCCAGAAGAGAATCGCAAACTCTCCAGCAAGGCCACCACAATGTTGGCATGGGCAAGTTCCAGCACACCTCTCGAGTCTCTCTGTGGCCAAAGGGCGCTCAGAAGATACCGAGCTCAGCCGAGCTCCTGCCTCGACGCAGGTCTCGAGATGCCTGCCGCAGGCCGCAGGACAGAAGGCAGCCAAGGGATGCAGGTGATGAGAATCTTCAGAAACCTTTGGCCAAAGCCTCCACAAGGGAACCGGCGGAGTCCTGCACTCCACCGCTTCGGTCGCGTTTTAGCGTGCCGCAGCGTGCCTCTTGGAGTGCAGCAACCAGTGGCCAGCGCTGGGCACGGGTGCAGGCCAGCACTTGGCATACAGTTGTTCAGGCAGCTCGCGTGTGAGAGAAGTGCGCTGCAACTTCCGTGTAGGCCGTCATATCATGGACAGTTATAAGAACTCATCCATGTACTGAAGACGCTTCCTTCAACTTTCAACTTTCTACTGAGGTTTGGGCAGACTGACGAGGTGCAGATCACATTCGTTTTTTGCTTCCTTGCAGAGTGCGCAGAGCAGAGCAGAGAGGTGAACAAAAAGAAGCCGCCCCGCTTTGTTGGAGAAAAGTTGCGGCCAAGGCACGGCTGCGAGGCCAAGATCTCCAGGGCCTCGCCCCGACCCTTCCCCCCCCCCCAGCGAAGTGTGCTCGTGCCGTGCAGCGAGACACTCGGAGTACCCGGAGAAGATGAGCACACACCCACACCCGACTGAAAAAAGAAGTGACGTCGCGAACTTTACTCCTTCGTCTCTCTCTGAGCTCTGGCGCTCTGGCCTGGTGCCATTTCGCTGAGAGCTGAAGCGCCTCCAGCACCGATCCCAAGGCCACCTCGGGCCTCTGAGCGGACGCCGCGGCAGACCTCTCGAGAGCAAGACTCGAAGAAGAGAAGCAGGGCTCCTCCATGGCGATGGCGCCTGCCGTCGCCGGAAAGAAGATCAAGGGCCCACTGCCACTGCGCACCCCTAAGGCCAGAAGCAAGAAGCAAGAAGCAAGAAGCTCTCTCAGCTCTCTCTTCCCGCTCTTCTGGACAGCGCCGTCCTTGCGCAGGCTGCAAGGGCGGCATTGCGCCTAGAGTCTAGAGGCGACAGTAGCCAGGCCCCGTCAGTGGAGGAAACCGAAGGAAAGAAAGGAAGGCCGGCTCCCTTCCGCATTCCGGGCGCCCGGCGTCGTCTCGTCCGGAGTTGGCCCGAAGAGGCCTCGCGCACAGGCGCATCTCAAACTGTTGCGCCACCGGCCGGCATGAGAAGGGAGTCAGCCACACGAGTCGGGAATGAGCGGTGTAACAACCCTGAGGCATAAGTCAGAAACAGGGAGGCGGGTAGTTGTGAACACGGACGGACAAGTCGAGAACAGACGGGGGCCTCGAGTAGAACATTTATCCGGTGAATATGCCTGGAAGGCTTTGCTAGGGTATTTGCAAGGGGTTTACGATGCAGTAACTGCAGTAGGTCAGAATTATCCCAATGCAGTGTAAGATGTTTACACGGTGTTACAAAGCAACAATAAAGGAATATGCAATAATATTGCACATTCGCTACCTCAGGTACTCGGATGAGATGCGGCAGCGTTTGTTTTCAAGTTTGTTCCGGAATGCTGTTCCTGACTCTGGCTGCTGTCTCGTGTTCCCGACTTGCATTGGTTTTCTTCCTTACTGCGGTCTGGCAATGTCCCGGACTCGGCTAACATTGCAGGGCCAGGGTCTTCCCATGCAGCCGAGTGGCACATGTCCCAGTAGATCTGCAGTGCCAGCTGCCACTGCCCTGCACGCTCGCACCTCTGAGGACGGCTCTGCGGTGGGGGGTGGCGGAATGTGGAGAGGAATTGTGAAGCAGAGCCAAGAGCTTGGCACAGTGATGCAGGAGTTCATCATCGGCCTTGGGATGCGAGAGCATGCGCGAGAGCAGCCCCCCCGCTTAAGTCCGTCGGCCGGGCGAGTCGGGCCGTAGCCGCCGTTGCCGCAAGCGTTGGAAGACTGGGCAGACGGGGGGGCGCGGGAACAAAGAGAGAGCCGCAGAGGGGCCGAGCAGAGCAGAGAGAGACTGCCGCCGCAGAGCAGAGAGTGAGCAGAGAGTGCCGCCGCCCGCGGGGACCGGAAGCCGGAGCCGCGCTCCGGCCGGCGCCGCTCCGCTGGGGCCCCGGGCCGAGGAGCAGCGCGCGCTCCCAGTGCAAAGTTCTCAAACAAACGCCAACCTCTGATGCTCTGATCGATGCTGATCGATGCTCTCTCTCTCTCTCTCTCTCCCTCCCTCTCTCTCTCTCTCTCTCTCTCTCTCTCTCTCTCTTTCTGTTGCTAAAGATGATCTCTTCCAGCTCCAGAAACTGCCGGCCCATAGGCGAGGATGCCTGGCCACTGCATGGCCACTGCAGGGCTTATACTGGCTTCTTGTGACTCCATGCCTGCAGGGCCTTCAATGGCGTCTGCTTCCTCCATGGCCTTCAATCGCGCGAACAGTCAGTTTCGGAGCTGCGGAACTGCGGTCGGCAGCGCGGCCTGCAACGTGGCCAGGCACTCGGCCCAATGCAGACCTGTCGCAGACTTTGCACAGATGTCTTCTGTCCCAATAGAGAAACGGAGCTTTGAGTCCGCCACCATTCATCTGAGCGGTCATGGCCTGCCACAGTTCCCCGTTCTTTGCTTCACTTCCTTTGCATTGTCCCGGCCATGTGGTAGGTCAGCATGTCAACAACCAAGTTTTGCTCGTCCATCTCCTGCCGAGACCATCCAACGAGTCAAGATGTGCGGCTTCGGAACTTCGCAACTCCAACTTTGTTTCCCCTTCCTGCCCCCGCCTTGAGTAGGCAGAGGGCACATTGCCAAGACGAACCTCCACTAAGATGCTGCTGTGCTATGCCGCCATGCCGCCATGCATGCCATGACTTCGCAGAGCCCCAGACCATCGCACTGCTTGATGACCATGTTGTAGGAAAAAGCATCTGCCACGCGCACCTCGTGCCAAAGCTTCCCGAAAGCATCGCTCTCATCACTGGGTTTGAGGCTGCAGCCACGCGCAGACCTGGGCCATGGGGACAAGAACCAGACTGTGACTGCACAGCAGTCGCGCGGCCCTGCGTGTCGACGACGACAAAGCTCTCTTTTTCGCTTTCCCCGCGCCGACGCCGACTGGCCGACCCCGGCTCTTCGACCTGGAGACGGTCCCGGTCTCCGGTCACTTCCACTCATCGCCCTCCTCGTCCTCCTCTTCCTCAGAGTCAGAGCCCGGAGGCGGAGACAGACAGGAGACAGGACGCAAGCGAAGCGGGAAGCGGTTCCTCCTCGTCTCCGTGCGTCGCTGCTCTCACCTTCGCCAGGCGAGCCGAGAGCGCTCCCATCAGGTCGCCGCCGCCCTGCAGGGGCGTCGACCTCGGCCGCAGAGCGGAGCCTCCGCTCGGAGCTCTCGGCGAGCCGGCAAGGCTTCGGAGGCTTCGGCTCAGAGGGCGTTGTGGTCTCCACGGCCTTCAACCCGAAGCGTTGCGCCTCGGGGAGGGGGGAAACTTGCTCACTCCTACGAGCACTTCTTGGCCGCCTTGATGTCGTCCAAGAAACTCCGGTCCCTGTTGCTCCTTTTCGGCTCTTGAACGTTGCTGATGGTCGCCGAATGACTGGCTAACGACTCGGGACACCACCGGACGGTCTTCTCACCTGCGCGCGCGCATGGACTCTCAAGCACTTCAAGACGTGGTCTCTGTCAAGGCCTGTCGCAGCCGGCACTGGTGGCGCAGGTGGAATCACTCCACTCCTTGGATCGTTTGCATCAGACACCAAGAACACTGAAGAAAGCTGGGCATCTGCGGCTCGGGATCTCCGACTCTGGCTGCTGCGTCGTGCGCAAATCCGCCTCACAAGCCACCCAAAGCAATTGATGACGCTTCCTCTCCAATATCAACCGAAAACATAGGCCTTGTCGAAACCTCGGATGGCCGTCAGCAAGTGGTTCGGGAGCTGCTTTTTCGTAGTTGTCGGCTCCTGGGACGTAGTTGTCGTCTCAGTCGTTGTCGGCTCCTCGGTCGTTGGTCTCGGCTCAGTCGTTGTCGGCTCCTCGGTCGTAGGTCTCGGCTCAGTCGTTGTCGGCTCCGCGGGCGTAGGTCTCGGCTCAGAGGATGTGCTCCTGGTAGTTGTCGTCGTTGTGCCTGCCGCTTCTGCCATCCAACAGAGCCGACAGCCCCGCCCAAACGGCAGAAAGCACCCCAACCTGTGAGGTCGTTTTGCTTGTCCCGGTCCTCCTGCTGGTGGTACCACCACCATCCATGCCCACCAATCTCACTCCAACCCCGCGGTGCCCCCCTAACCACGGACCTCCTCACAGGCTCGCAGCGGCGCCTTCAGCTATCCAAAGCACAACACTGCAACACCAGCACATCCAAAGCGTGCCACGGTGGCCATGATGCAAGCACTCGCAGCAGCGGCAGATGCTTGGTACACACTTACTACATCCTCCCGCAACCACCTGCAACCGTCTGCCACTTTGCGCCATGGCAATCCTACACGCTTAGATAGTCGCTGGGCGTGCTCTACATGCGTTTTACTTTGCTTGAAGGTGGGGTAGGGAATGTGCGGGAGCCGGTGATTTATCATCGTGAGGGTTTGGACCAGGTGCTGCTGAAGGGCTGGCGAAAGGTGGCGCGGCGGCCAGCCTGTGCAAAACTGCGTAGCACAAGCTGACGTTCTGGAACGGGACGCGGTGAAAGGAGTCGGTTTCGGAGGACGCCGAGGGCGGGGATCTTCGGTAAGTCCTTTGGATGGCAAGAAGTCTCTGGTGGTGACTACGAGCAGTTTGGAAGATTATTTGTTTCGTGGAGATCATCCACTTTGTCAGAGACATGAGCTGAGCTGGTCGACGTACACGCTGTCAGGCAGTATTCGAGTATGCTGGCCGTGGAGCAAGTGGCGAACTTGGAAGGTTTGGCGAGAGCGCGCCAGCAGAGACCGAGAACGCTGAGGATGGGGCGGAAGTAGATCCGCTGGAGGATTTTCCAGAAGATGTGGTCACGACTGCGGTTTCCAGGGAGGTTTTCGGGCCGGTGCAACAGCGTCCTCGGAGCGACGATGAGGTGATGAACCTTTTGATTCTCGATGGCACTGGGATGAAGGACAAATACATACACCGAAGAGTTTCTGGAGCAGAGCTGGATGTGGCGGGACCTGTCTCGCGTTCGTGAAAACGCTCCAGCGGTGTCACCGCGGCTCACAAGCTGGGTCGGGCGCTGGTCAAGTCGGATGCGGAGAGGCGAGAGGTCTTGCTGAAGATTCGGGAGTCGAGTCCGCGGCGGCCGCGGCCGGCTCCGAGTGTGCTGCCGCTGTCAGGTACAACAACTGCGAGACAAGCTGCAGAGGTGGATTGGGTCGATTCGAATGATTCGAACGTTCGCAGGCGGTCTCTTGCAAATTGAGCCGCGGTGTCAGGCGACGGCAGGCGTCCCAACGAGGATCAAGCTCTCCTCATTTCCATGGTGTTCGAGGAGGAGGACTGGAGATGACGGAAGTAGGGTGGGAGCTGGGGTCAGGGGTCGTGCGTGTTTGTGATGCCATGACGAGTGCAAGGTCTATTGGTGGGATTCTTTTAAAGTTTCTCACTCCGCCAGGCTTACGGTTAACATCAATCCGGCACGCCGTCAAATCAAGGGCATTTCTGGAGCTACTAAGCGAGCAGGAGATTCACGTTGGTTGAAGTTTATTGACGTGGAAGACATTCCGGCCGTTGTTCAAGTTCTTTCAGTTGTGGTATCTTTCAAGCGTGTGGAGCCAGATTGAAACAACATGATGGTACGTGCATAGGCAATCGAATATCACATCTTGATCTCTCTTCCCATACTTTGTACAGAGATTGGATGGCAACGATTATTTGCTTCATCCAAGCTTATTCATGATTCCTTCACTGTGCGATACAATCGCTTTATCACTTCCCAGGAGCATGCTGGTTCTTTGGCTATCAGAACTTCGGTTTCGCCACTCTTCGATGGTTGAGTTGGAAGATGTGGGCGATGATCATTTTCTTGGACTTCGAGTTTTGGTGGATAAGAGGCAGATTCACTTCATCCCTGCTTCCCATCTTTGGCAAGTGAGGCATCCAAAATCGGCGGAGTCTGAGACTGATCTTGTGTCTGGACTTAAATCCAGAACTTGTACCATTCGTCGTTATGTCCGGCCTGCCTTCCTACGGGAAGAACAAGTCAATGATCTCAAGAAGTTTCACACTCAGTCAGGCTATCTGAATTGCTCGTTCTGCAAGGGATTGTGTGCTGCTGTGCAAGGGAATGCATTGGCATGTGGAAGCATTGCATGAGTGACAGAGTGCACTGCAGTCCTGGCTTCATTCACCAAGCAGTGTTGTAGTTCCTGAACCATACAGCAATGCCGCCTAAAGTGGTTGCAGAGATCATGAACATCATTGAGACGCTTGATCATCCTCAACGTCAGTCGCTGTTTATTAACCATGTTACGCATCCATTTCTACGTGGAGTATTGGTGTCTCACTTGAAAATCTTGGTGCAAGAGCTGGCATAACCCAGGGCAGCTAAGTCAGCTAAGTTCAGGCAGTGCTGGGCCAGCTCCACCACCCCGTCCATTGACAGTGGTTCCCCCTCCCCCTTTCCCCTTGCCCCATCACACTGCTGGAAGTGCTTCTGGACAGATGGTCGAGGTGATGCTTGGCCTGTTTCATAGTACACCGACAGCAAGATGACCCAGACTCCTGAGAGATCCGTGAATTCACATCTGAGCTGACATCACTCTTGAGAACAGCCGCGGGTTTGAGAAATGCCACAGTCGGGTGAAGAATTTGGATCAGCCGCCATCGCGAGGAAATGGGATCAAGCGCTGTTGCTTTATGAAGGGTCAGCCGTCGCCTGATGCGGGGCGATTCCCCAATGAGGCGGCGGTCAAACTTCACTGATGGGATCAACATCCATCACCATCGCCTAATGGGGTCGGGGCCGGATTTCAGAGACTGCGAGCAAATACATACCAATACCATCTTGACTGTTGCAAATGCTAGGGCGGTTACTCTTTCTATCCATCGCTCAATGAGGGGCGGGCTTAAGCCATGGGATCGACTGCCATCGCTTAGAGGGAGGGGGCGGGTGAACAATCTTGCAGAGTTTCAAGCATTTTCAGGGAATCATCTCAATGTACTGGTGGGCTTCAACGTTGCACAATACCCTTCCGGAATGCTTCACGGCATTGGCATGTCAGTTAAACAATGTTTCATTTCAGGACACCAATGCTTTCCCCGTACACAGTCGCGACTCTGAGATACTGCCAACAGGCTCGCCGCGGTTTCCCGCATATACTTGCTAGAAGCATGCAATTAATGGGACGTGAACGCAAACGATGGCTGGACTAGAAATTGATGAGCAGCCAGCAGGTGCCATTTCTCAGACCCCGCTCCCTCAGGCGATAGGATCCCAGAATCCCATTTCTCAAAGCAACCGCCTGGCCGGTGCTCAGACCTATGGCGCAGTGACCACGCGTGCGTCCCACCCGACAAGAGAGGATCTGAAGTCTTGGGGTTTGGATCGGAGACGCTCCAGTCTAAGTGTCGTTGCAGGGTTGAAGATAGAAAGCCGAACGGATCGCATGAATGCATCGACTGTCCACACCAGCATTGGCAACAGCACACCAAGGGTGTTGTCTTCATGAAGCCGTGCCGATGTCAGACACATCAACCTTCGAACTGAGGCCAGATCGCGAGTGATGGCCAAACGGCAGCATCAAGCAAGAGCAGAATTCCGGCAAGCCTCGTGGTGAAAGCCGCTGCGCCAGAGTCTGGACTCCATCTGAGCAAGACTTCAGAGGTTCCCTTCGGCCCACCAAAGCTTGGCTTCCACGCCTGGCCTCAGCATCTTTCTGGCACTTGCCAGCGGCCTGGCTTTGGCAACAGCAGGCCCAAAGGCCTTGTCCAGCCCTTCGCGCAGGTCAGACTGCAAGCTCTCTGCCTGTTGACCCTGACAGACAGACTGACAGAGACTTCGTCCAGGCTCTTGCGCGGAAACCGCCGCACGAGAAACTGGAGCTTGGAAAGAGAAGAGGCGTCGATCTCGATGCCCAGCGACTCCTTCTCGCTGCGAGGAGGAGGCTTAAGAGAGAAAAGCGGTCGCTGTACAGCAGCGCCTCCAGCTCGGAGACCGCCGAGTGAAGAGCATCGAGCTTTGGTTTCATCACTTTCTCCACCTGCGCCTGGGCCTCTCCAAGAGCCTCCTTCCAGTTCACCGCTTTCCCCTGGTCAAGCGTCTGCCAAGCAAGGCATGTCGCCTCACACCTCCGGCCTCGTCACAGCTGCAGTACTTTCCTCCCGTCAGGGACTTGTGGACCCTAGGCAGAGTCAGAGCAAGGCAACAAGGCAATGCCGCTTTACGAAGCCTGGAGCCCTAAGGTTGGGTTCGCGGCTTTGGGCGAGAGCACTCTGCATCCGCCGCCATCGATATGCCAGGCAAGGTGTGTTTAGGTGCCAGAACACCCACCTGCAAGCTTCAGTGTTGCGGCAGGTTCGCAGAAGCTGCTTGCAACAGGGCACTTCAACTGGCCTTGTTGTTGCATCCACAGGGTACTGTCGCTGCCTCTCTGTCTTCCTCCTGCCTTGCCAATCGATTGCTGAGGGTGGGCTCAAAGAGCGCCCAGAGCGCCAAAACCGAACCTCGGCACGCGAAGAAGAAGCAGCAAAGGTGACAAAAAAAACGAAGCAAATCCCGAAGCATCGCGAAGAAAGCGACGACGTCCGTAGCCGTCCGTCTCTCTGAGACGCCGCCTGCGGCCAAGGAGCCGAAGAGTCGTCGGCGGCTCATATCACTTATAGAAGGAGCTCTGGTTCTCTGTCTCAAATCTGTCTGTGTCTTCGCCAGGCAACGTTCAACACGTCTAACGGGTCTTGGGCCCGGCATTCGGCAGCGGACCGGACGGCGGCAAACGCACAACGTAAGGGAAAGTCCATCTGCCCAAGGCCTTGCGACGCAAAGCGCTTTGAGTCCCCGCACGCTCCAGGCTCCAGAGCGCCGCCCGCCAACCCTCAGCGCCACGGCGCGAAAGCGAAATGGCGACACGGCCACGGACGGGCGCGAAGCAGCGGCAGCGCAACGCGTCGGTGACGGGCCGACGGGCCTTGGAGGCCATGGCCGAGTTCCAGGCGGCGACCGAAGGCCTGGGCGGCAAGCCCCAAAAGCCCAAATCCCACCCCCCCCCCCCTCCGCGCACTCCGTTCCCTAAAGCTTCTGGCGGCAATGAGGCCTGCAGCATTCGAAATTTTCACGGCTCTGGCCTTGAGCATCACCGCCTGGCCTGCAGGAGCAGCGCTGTGCTCCGGGCCCATTCGCTGGCCTTCGACGGCCGCACTCGGCTCGAAAGCACCGCCTCCCATGCCTTCATGGCCTCTTCGCAGGCGGACACCGCGGACACCATCCCAGCGGCTCCCCCTCCAGATCCTGTGCCAAGCCTGAACGCGGGCATAACCACACGGCACTGTGGTCCTTGCAGGTTCAGGCGCCTTCCCAGTGACAGGATGCTTTGCCACTGACTCCCGCATTCGAAGGCTTTCACTTTGGCCTTGGCTCCAAGATTCTGAGAAAGACCGCCCGAGCCGGGCAACGTTGGCCGCCTTGGGATCCTGGCTCCTGCCGATGCGGCAGTGGCCGCGACCCCTAAGACCTCTCCCCAGAGCCTTGGTATTCATTCGCGAGAGCTCTCACGAAGACACGAACTCGTGGGAACGTGGCAGGAAGAAGAGACTCTCTTTCCAGTACCTGCCAAAAGCGTGCGGAACTTTGATTGGTCCGACTCCGATCTTTGCTGCCTCAGGCTGCAGCCTTGTAGAGCTTGCAGCGTTGAAAGCGGCGGCCGAAGGCTCCACCTGCAGTCCTTTCTGCGTAGGTTCTCAAGGTTTCGCTCCCTGTGTCTCTAGCGTTTTGCTTTTAACTCCTGCCAAGCTCCGAAGCAATGCCACGGAAACAGCGTTCTCCTCGGCCTGCATTCAATCACCCACACCTACTACTACCGGGAAGCGATTCAACTGACACGGAAACACGCTCACAGTGTGACACGAGGCTTTCGTAAACGGCTACCTTCGCAAAGGCGGAGAGAGCTGCACTGGCTGCCATGGCATTGCGATTTGATGACTGACAAAACAGCCTCGAGAGCTCAGACTCAGATTGATCAGATCATTTCCCAGGTGCAATCCTGAGGCACGTGCATCAAGGCCAGCTGCCACTGCTTGCCCTCCAAATCTCATGTTCTTTCGCTGCTCTTGCTCAGATGAACATAACTCGCGCGACGTGGTCTCTTGACTCGGGCGCTCTCACCGTCTTGACTGGCACATGCGCCCATCTGCAAACACCCCATTACACACACACGGAAGAAGTGTTGTCTGCACTCCCGGATGGATGTCCGCAAGGGACACTAGTTGGTTGTTGTGCTTGTGATGCAGAACCATGTGAGTAAAGGCATCATGCAGGAAACAGATTGCAGCAACCGTGCATGCAGGCAAAGGCAAAGGCTGACGACCTGAGCTGTACGCGAAAGGTGTTTTGGCACAGTGAGGATATCACAATGCGGCACCATGTACAGCTTGCACTGTAAAGATGTCACACACTTGATTGCAGGTACAAAAGGATGATCAGCCCTCTCTTCCCAGGTCACTTGTAGCTTCGTTGGACACAGTCCCAGTGACATGCTGTGTCCCCTGCGAAACATAAAAAGGAAAAGGCTGAAAGTATGCAGATCTGTATGTTGAACAAACAAAACGGTTGTGAACCCCTCATCTCATGCACATGGCCCATGTCTGGGGCGCGTGCGTTTATACAATCCCGTGCTGCATATGCACTGTGGTTTGTCGAACGGCATACTCAGTCTTGTTGATGGCTCGGTGCTGGTGAGAATTGATGTTCACCCCTTGTTGCCGTAGCAGACCCGGCGGTGGTTTTCGGGCCACCTCCTTGCCGTAGGTGCTTCAAAGGAAACCGTCTGAAGAGTCTAGGTTTGTCAATGCGGATTGAGTGAGCTTGTCGGAGATCTTGGGGAACTTTCCGTTGCTACCAACTCGACGAAACCAAAGAACTCGCTCTGGATCGGTAAGGAGAAGCTGCTCAAGTTCACGAGGTGCCCGAATCGCCAGGAAGAACGATGCGATGCGAATCATCTGTGGTTCGTGTACCAAAGGTGCAGATCGTCTATTCTGGTAGGCCCTTGGAAGAAGCCTCAGGAAAAATACCCGGGATGCTGTGATAGGCGTTGTGGGCTCATGGCTACAGCTGTAAGCTGAAGTGCAGTGAACGGCTGCGGACAGGGGCAGGAAATGTCCAAACAACCTGATCAAACAGTCGTAAGTACACAGCGCATGCTACATGTCCTGAACACGCATCATGAATTGCTTCTGCAATGCGGTGGCCAACGAAGTTGGCAAAGCATGTGCTGAATCAGTATCTGCCTATGGCGTGCGAGAGTGTTTTCTCTGTTAAGTGAAAAGTTCGTTGTGCTGTCGCCGCTGCTGGCTGGCAGAGGTCTTGTGCCGGCTTGATGCGCTTGTTGGTCTCGAATCTGAACACTGTCTGGTGGCAACGAACCAGGATTTCCGCCAACTGCTGCCGTCCGTCTCCCAGTGCCAACGCCATTCATGTCCCGATGGGGATCTGGACCTTGTGCTGGTCGGCATGTTGGGAGAAATGAGAACATGCAGAAACGGCTGCGAAGAGAAGTGCACATGCGCAATGCGAGCCATCAGAAAACGGAAGATGTATAATATGCTGACTGAATGTGGCAACGTTTTGTCACCGCTCCAAGTCGGCCATGTCGGTAGACCCTGTTGTCTGAGGACTACGGAATGTCTGCACGATCACTACGTGTGAGGCTCGGAGTGTTCATCAAAACTGTCTTAGCTTCCTCAAGCGCTTGAACGCGATGAAGAAGTGGTTGGATCGTGTCGCTGGTAATCTGGATAAAGTTTAAAGTCAGCGAGGGGCTTCCGTCTTGAGAGCTCGCGCGATTGAGAACCACGCCAAGAGTGTCAGCAAGCCCAGCTCGTTGTTCTTCGGTCATTCTCGACGACAAAGGAACGGATGGCGAGCTCGAAAATTCACTGGTTTGCGGAAGTGTACGAGTGGCGATTTGCTCTTCTTTTAATCCAGTGGAGACACTGGTCAGTCGGATGTTTGCTAAGAGGACCAGTCCGCTCTAAGGAGACTTTCGATTACGTCCATCTGTTGCTTGCAGCTGCCATAGTCTCATGTTAATGTTGGGCGGCTAAGAGAGTACTGGTTTGCTGCAGTAGACCCTCAAGCTTAAGACGCGAATCACTCAGTGCTCGCCGCAGGCATCAATGCGTTGAAGAACGTCATCCGCAACCACGCCATTGTTCTTTTGAGCCGTAGGCGGGTGTGGCTTCCTGTTCGTGCGCAGCTTCTGTGTCGATGGCCGAGGGATCACATGCTTCCGTAGCCGCACATAACATCTGGTTGCGCAGAAAGGGTGTCTCGACAGGCCTGGATGGTTGCAAAGCTTCCCCAACCGGCCTTGTGATGAGCGGAGCGATGGTCCCCTTGGCGTTGTTGCCCACGATCACGCTGATGTGGAAAAGAGTTATTCCCGCTCATCGCCTTGTGAGTGGGCTGGAGCTTGCCACTCATGGTGCTGCGGCGCATGGCAAAACACTGTCCAGTCAGCGAAAAGGCTGCGGACACCATGGAGCTGATGTAGTCATCAACCCGACTTGCAGATGCATGCAAACAACACGCAAGCTGCAAGAGTCTTGTTTCGTTTCTGAAGGCAGGGGTTGATCCACTGCGGGTCGTACCCGGCTTTTGTGTATACCTCATGTTAGCCGGGCCATCGCTGGGGTGATGGGGTCGTGTGGCGTTGCCAGAGTTAAAACCGTAAAGGTTGACGCTCAGGTAAGAGGCAAGTCCTACAACCCCCAGGTCGTAAGCGGCCTTTTCCTGGGACTCGCAACAGCGGTCCTTGTCTTTTGTGTCCGATTCTTATTTGTTTATATATATATATATATATATATTATATTTGGGTTCGCGTTTGGATTCGTTTCTGATTTATATTATTAGATTCGTATCTGATTCGTATTTATTTCGTTCCTGGAAATATTTTATTTTTAATAAGGGTTATGGCAACACGTAATCAAGTTCTATACTTGCACTTGCTTATTTTGGATTGGAATGAGGTTTTTGATATGATAAAATTGTGCATTATACTTGACGCTACGTAGGTCGAAGGTGCCACCAACTATGTGCGTAGTAATCTTGGACAGCCTTCGCGCCAAACTGGCACGGGCCGTAAGGCTAATTTTGAATACTCTTTGCACGCGGTGACATAATGTCGGTGAGGTTGTTGGTGGCTTTGCAGTGGATGCTGTGCACGGGCGGTGGGGTCAATGGTGAAGTCGGAGGAAATCGAAAACGGGCTCTGTCTCAAGGCAAATGGGACGGCCGTAAAAACGGGGTGACAGGAATTGTTGAAAATGTGTAGAGGTTGGGATAGCTGTCGGTTGTCGACGTATCTAGTGGCAAAATGTCCGCTAATGGTGAACTTGCGTGGTGTGGTGCGCTTGACGTTCTAGGTAGCTGGTGAGCCCATTGCGGCGCCTCGGGTCTGCTGCAGTGGTGTATTGCCGACAGGTTGAGGAGCAGGACAGCTCTGCAAATGTCAGGTAGGTGTTGCAAATGGATGGCGTGGCGTCGCGGTGGTCGGCATTTTGATCTGCCATGGTAGATGCGCATTGTGGGGTCGGGTTCGTGGTGAGTGGAAGTGAAGACTGATGCATGTTGGTTGCTTCTCGCGCCGTACCAGTGTGTCATCAGTTGAAGACTGTCCAAAAATTTATCTTGAATGCTGGTGAAGAAACCAGAAAGGTTTTGGTTCTGAATGGTGAGTTTGACTGTGTCTTCTGTGTCTGTTGTTCTGACAGCGTGGAAGTGGTCGAAGCTGGCGGCGTGTGTCGCCGTTTGGCGGTGCGGTTGTAGGTGTGGTGGTGATGCGTAAGTGGTGGGGTGTCCAGTGTGTGAAAGACCTCATCATCCTGTGCACTAGCCCATCTAGCCCACCACCATCCCCTACAACCTCCGGGTTGGTACTAGCTAGAGAAGTCGTACCAGCCGAGTAACGACAGCGAGCTAACAAGCAGTAGTGCACGACGACTCTCCTTTTCATGGATGTGGCATAAATCCCAGTTATAGCCTGGAGATAGCCTTTGGCTAGCCCTCCCCAGGGTGGGTTGGGTGGGTACTTCAAAATTACCCCCCCCCCAAAGGGGACTTTATCCAGAATGGCCACGGAGTTGCAAACTGTTCCTCGCCATTCCAAGTCAAGCTATCCTGTCTTGCAGACTGACACTCGGAGCAAGAGCAACAGATAGCAGTAGAAACTTCGTTTCTATCCGAAACACCTGCGATGGTTTCGGTGGGAAGATTATCGGACTAGCACACATAGTCGTAACCCGTTCCTCGTCACGAGGTACGTGCGCTAGCCCATCTAGCCCACCACCATCCCCTACAACCTCCGGGTTGGTACTAGCTAGAGTAGTCGTACTAGCCGAGTAGCGACAGCGAGCTAACAAGCAGTAGCGCACGACGACTCTCCTTTTTCATGGATGTGGCATAAATCCCAGTTAGCCTGGACAAGCAAAGCCACTCAGGCTACCAGGGATCTAGCCTACGGACCTTCCGGTCAAAACGTGACACCTTCGCCGGTGCCTCTCGCTTTAACGGAGTTCGTCCCCCTTGAGGTCTATCCTCAAGCCGGGGTCGAAAAATTTGAACTCCTCGTTGGTGAGGTCGTCCGCTAGCTGGTTGAGATCTTTCCGTACCCACTGTAGCTGTAGCTCACAGTTCCTGTGGGATAGCTCTTCGGCCGTCTCCATCAGGATTAGCTTGGAAGGATACTTTGTCGTCATAGCCTTTTTCAAGAGGGACTCATTGGATTTGTCATCCGTGTAGCCCCTGATGGCAACTCGCGAGGTTTGCCTATCCTCGCCCTCCGGGACCCAGAGACGTATCCCGACGAGGGTCGCTAGCAACTCTAGCGCAGCTATCACCTTTTTCGGGTCTCCTTTGGAGAAAATGCCCAAGGCGCCCACGACCTATCCACTTCAAGAGAGAACCAGGGTCCCGGGCCCGGCTTCCCGGAGTCTAGCTCCAGAAAGCCCCCTATCCATGCTCTCGTGGATTCGGCCTTAGCATCAGTGCAGAAACTCACAGAATTTCGGGGCCCAGGTGTCT